TCAAGAAGCTGAGTTATCTCCAAACAGGATAAGCCCCAGAAGTATTCACATCAAGGAAGATCAGAGTCAAACTTCTGAATATTGAAGGAAAAAAAAGAATACTAAAAGCAGCCTGAGAGAAATGTCTTCTTATCTATAGTGGAGGAGGAAATGATTTGAATGACAAAGGAGTTTTCATCACACAGGAAGACCAGAAGGAAGTAATATAAGATTTTCTTTCAAACCAAAAGAAAAGAACTGTCAACTTAGAATCTCCTATCTAGTGAAAGGAGTGTTTAGCAATGAAGGAGAAATCATTCATTCTCAGACAAAGCAAAACTAAAAATCTTTGGTGGCAGCAGATACACTTTAGGAGAATGGCTAAAAGATCTCTAACAGAATGGAAACCACAAAAGAAGAAACATTGGAATATCAAGAAGGAAGGAAGTGAAACCTAGCAAGGACCCCATAATGTATTTTCTAGGGTTCCTGAAATATAAAGTCCATTTACATTGTAATGGCCCAGAGTAAGGAGTAGTCTTCAGATTTGGTTATGATAATAACCAAGATGGACCATGAGTGAGGGCCATTTGACCTCTAAAACTCTCACTTAAAGGAAAGATAAGGTTTTCATTTCAATACTAAGATGTTTTACAGGCTGGAAACTGCTGGTTGTGAGCTCAAAGTCTCCAGGCTGAAGGGTTCCAGATACCTGAAGAGGAATTTGATTATCTAAGGCCTCACCAATCAAGAATGCCCAGGAGATGATCATGCCCTCTTGAACCAATCACTGAACTGATCATGCGCCTAGGACCTCTGCCCCTAATTTTTGCCCTTAAAAATGCATGTGGGGAACATCTCTGGGAGACCAGGTCTTTTCAGCATAAGCTGCCTGCTCTCCTTGCTTTGCACTTTGCAATAAAGCTGTACTTTCCTTCATCACACCATGTGCCTATGGCTTGATTTCATAGCACTTGGGCAAGCGAACCTGATTTGAGTTTGGTAACAGAAGAACATGGTAGGCATTCTTTATATGAGTAAATGCAATCGATTTTGCTTCTTTATAGTTTTCTAAGTTAGGTTTGGCAGTAGAAACAAAAATTATAACATTGATAGGGTCTAAAATATATGTAAAGAAAATGTTTAAGACAATTATGTTACAAGTAAGGGAGAGAAAAGGAATATACAAGAAAGTGAGATTGTACTTAAATTAGTAAAATAACACCAGCAGTTGACTGTGATACTTTATGTTCATATAGAAGGAAATACCTAGAGCAATCATTGAAACACACACACACACACACACACACACACACACAAGAAGATAGTCTCCAAAAATTGTAGATAAATCAAATGGAATTTTAAAATACATTTAGGAAGTCCCCTAGAAGGAAGGAACAAGGAAGCAGCAGCTCAACACAGAAAAAATAAATAAATAAATAAATAAATAAGGCCAACTTGAGCTATAAAATACCATTATTGTATGGTATAAATATACCAAATAAAAGATAGAGATTGGCATGATGGACTAAAAAAACTACAATACAAATACATGTTATCCATGAGAAACTACCTCAAATATAATAATATAGAGAGGTTGAAAAGAAACGTAATGGAAAAATAATTCAACATGAAAACAGTAAACAAAGACAAATAGGAATGGATACATTATATAGATAAAATAGACTTCAGACCACAGTAACTCATGAGTGATAGAAAGGAATATTACGTAATGATAAAAAGATCAGTCCACAAAGTAAAATAATTATCCTAAATGTGTATTAACCAACAACAGAGCTGTAAAATATGTTACACAAAAATTGACAGAATTCAAAGCAGAAAAAGACAAATCCACAATTTTGTCTGATGATTTCAGCACCTTTCTTTAACAACTGATAAAAGAACTAGACAGAGAAAAGACAGGACATAGAAAAACTTGAAAACACCATAAGCCAACAGGATCTAATCAATATTTGTAAGACATTCCACCCACAAGCAGCAGAACATAATTCTTTTCAAGTGTACATGGAACAAGATAGATTATATCCTCAATTATAACACAATCCTCAAAAAATTAGCATAAATGAAATCATACTGAATGTTTTTTGATCACAAGAGAATCTAGCTAGAAATCAATAAGTATCACACATTGCATGCGTGCTTTGTAAATATGTATAGCAGTTAAATGCAAATAAGAAATTATAAAATTACTTTTTTTTAAAAAGGTAAAGAAAGATTACAAAAAATCACCAAACATTGAGACAGCACATGACACAATTCTAAATAAGCCATGAACCAAAATAGGAGGTCTCAGGAAAAAAAAAAATTAAACAAATGAAAATGCAAATGCAACACATTAAAATTTGTTGGAAAAGCAGTGCTAAGAGAGAAATTTATAGCACTAAATGCATATAGTAGGAAAGAAGAAAAGACTTAAATCAATAACCTATGTTCCCACCTCAAAAATCCTGAAGAAAAGAAAAGAAAAATAAATCTAAACCATGCAAAAAGGAAAAAGAGCAGAAACTGATAAAATTAAAAACAGAAAAACAATTATTTTTTAAAAAATGGTAAAAACAAAGTTGGTTCTTTGAAAAGATCTTAAGATGACTAAACTCCAAAAAGACCAAAGGAGAGAGAACAGATATAAATGACAAAAATTAGAAATGAAACTGGGATTATCACTACAGACTCCATAGACATCTAAAGGATAGTAAGATTAAACTATGGACAACTCTACTCACATGAATTTGACATCTTAGATAAAATTCCTTGAGAAATATAAACTACCAGAACATACCCAATATAAAATAGATAATGTGAATAACCCCATAACTATTTAAAAAATTGGATATGCAATTTTAAAAAAATATTTTTTTAGTTTAGTTTGTCATTTTTATTTCCATGAGAGAGAAAGATAGGGAGATAGTCGTTCCAGACAGGGTCTTCACACCATGACCCATCTCCTGTCTTAGCTGCCCTGGATCACAGGTACACAGGTGTTCATTATATTCAGAGACGTCTCAGGACATGAACCCACAACCATGGGGCTCCAGTTGCATTACCAGATTAGTCACCAACTGATCCCTGAACTTGTAATTTTAAAACTGTCCAAAAAAGATATCTATAGTCCCACAGATGGTAAAAAAACAATAATAATAAATCAATTTTCCTTAAATATAAGTTTAATACAATTTACAATAAAATCCCAATAAGATACATCATATAGACAAAATTATTCTTAAACATATTGAAAGGCAACTGAACAAAAATAGCTAAAACAATTATGAAAAAGAATAAGTAGAAAAAATTACTGTACTCAATTTCAAGATTTACTGCGTAGCTACAGTAATTAAGACTATGTGGTATTGGTGAGGGATAGAAACATGAATCAGTGGAATAAAATGGGGAGCTCAAAAGTAGATTCAATAAGAATGGACAACTTAACTTTTGATAAAGTTCTAAAAGTTCAGTGGAGCATAGTTAGTCCTTTCAACAAATGGTGCTGGAGCAATTGACATCCACAAGCAAAAGAAAAAAAAAATAAGAAAGAAAAAGAAATGAAAAAGAAAAGCAAAAAAACGACCACTTAAATTTTAATTTTATGTAAAAATTCAAATTCTTTTAAGCTGGTTCAGATTTAAATATAAAAGGTAAGGTTAAAATTTTTTTCTATAAAAACATAGGAGAGAATCTTTGGTACTTAAGGCCAGGTAGAGTTCTCATACTGGACATCAAAAGCTTATCCATAAAAGGAGCAAGTGATCAATTAAATTTCATTAAAATTAATAACTTTTTCCTTTGTGAAAACTGTTAAGAAAGAGAAAAAACTCTGTCCAGAATTAAATGCTTGTAAACCACAGATATGACAAAGGGTTAGTATCCGAGATATATAAAGAACTCTCAAATCTCAATAGTAGAAGTAAAATATAATTTAAAAAATGAACAAAAGCCATGAATAACATTTCACTGGGGAGGATATACAGATAGCAAGTAAACACATGAGAAGATACTCAGCATAATTAAACATTAAGTAAACATAAATTAATATTACAACATATCTATCAGTGGCTAAAATTAAATTAAAAATAAAACTAATAATACTAAATGCTGGTAAGGATGTGGAGAGATTGGGTCACTCATATATTGCCAGTAAGATTATAAAATGGTACATACAGTCACTGTGGAAATCATTTTTGCGGTTTATTAAAAAAAAAACTAAACATTTAAATACCATATGACCCAGCAATTACACATTTGTGTATTTATCCTAGGAAAATAAAAACTTATATTCACCAAAACTCTGTACTTTAATTTCTCTTTTATTTTTTTCTTGCGAGAGGCATGTATGTTTGTCCGAGAGAGAGAAAGAGGGATGGAGAAGAGAAAGGATTCCCCCTCCATGGAGTATGGTCACACTGCAATACTATTTCTTTTATTCCTCCTTCCCATGAGGATTTTGGGCATGCACATGCACACACATACCTGGCAAGTTTGTCAAGCCACCAGGGCCTGTACTCAAACTGTGGTCAGTCATATAAGATCTAGCTCCCTTAACCACTAGGCTTGTGGGGTCAGCCCAATACACAAATGTTTATACCAGCTTTAGTAATACATGAAATGACCTAGATGTTTTCCAATGACTGAAATGTTAGAAACTGTGGGATGTTGGGACCAGCAGGTGGCATGGTGGTTAAGGCGCTGGACATTCCCTGGCCGACCATGGTTCGAGTCCCAGACCTGGTGGCTTAGTTTCTCGCTTTCTCTCTCACTCTGTCTTTTTGTGTGTCTCTCTGATCAAATTAAAATAAATGAATCAATAAATAAAATTAAAAAAAAGAAACTGTGAGATGTCTATATGATAGAATAGTACTCAGCAGTAAAAAAAGAACAAATTATTGATACCCATAACAATATGGATAAATCTCCAAAGAATTGTACTGAGTGATAAAATTTAACCACAAAAAGTTGCATATTATAATATCCCATGATATGTAACAATGTCAAAAGGATAAACTTACAGAAATGGAGAATAGTGGTTTCCAGAGGTTAAGAAGGTGGTTGAGGTTAGAAAGCAGTAGTTATGGCTATAAAAAAAAGAAATAAGAGCAATCTGTGTAGTGATGCAAATGCTCTGTATCTTGACTATTACAATGTCAATAATCTGGTGTGCGATTATCCTATTCCAATAGGAGAAACTATGGAATTGCCTTTGTGTTATTTTTACAACTGTATATTATTTGAAAATAAAAGTTTAATTTGAAGAAAGTTTAAAGGACTCTAATATCATTAGGCCCAGGCCAAATAGTTTGAGGATAGCTAACACTTTAAGGACAAAATGGCATAGGTTAGAATCAAAATTGAGCTTCTTAGATGACCTTCGATCAGCCTTTTAACTGCAATGACTCCCAATTCCTTACCTGAAAAGTGGGGAGAATGAATTAAGCCCAACGTAAAAAAGGACTCTGGGATGTGACAAATCAATTTATGGCCTTACAGATGCTTAAATCCCAGAATCCAGAGGGAAGAAAGACCATGGCTTTAGCTGACTAAAGGGTAGATCTGATGTGATATCTGAGGGACCAGGAAAGTAGACTTTATCCGCTTAATAAATGAAGGACTGGAGTCAGAGCTTCCTTGGAGACAGTCCTCTTCTGAGGAGTTATCTCTACTCTCTGGCTTATTCTCTGTGCAAATCCACCACATTCTCTGAAAGAATGGGTCAAGAACAAGACAATTTCAGGAAAGAAAAATGTTTGGAGTATGAATGGAATTTTTCTTTTTTTCTTTTTCTTCTTTGTTTCTTTGTTCATTCTGTCCTGACATCAGTGATCTGAAGAAAGATGATTTTTTGTCACTTTATCACATGGATGTATATGACCTCTACCCTGGTGGCAATAGATATTCCCACTTAATGGACCACTTCAACTTTCACTTGAGAAGAAAATGGTAAGTGTGCACTTGATTGTGAATGTCAGAAGTCCTCGAGTGGGTTGTTTTGGTACAAAGGAGGAGCGAAAGGGAATGACTTTTTGTCATGAGGGCAGAGATCACACCAGCTTTGTTCTTCCTTCTGTCTGAAGTGCTAATTCAGTATGAGTGGACCTGGAATTTAAGAAGCTGAATTGGACACTGATTGCTTCTGTGAACTTGCATATGTTTTTAACCTTTCTGAATCTTGGGTTTGACATTTCCTCCAAGAATATATACCTGTGCCCCCATCTAGGTGGTCTTAAACTTCATGAACTATAAATTCAGATACACCCATTCTCAGATCCTAACTTTGGGGTCCTTGGGCAAGTTGCTGAGATTTGAACTCCACAAGACATAGATGATGTCTTCTTTTCCCCCAACTGATCCCTGGAATAGGATCTACCAGTGAGTAGGTGCTCAGGAGGCATTTGTGAATAAATGAACCACTCTACTCCTCACTTACTCCACCAAGTCCTTCTGCACCTAACACTCCAGGGACTCTTTCCACTAACCTTCCCAACATTATAAAGCTGGGAGATGATACTGGTTGTGATTCCAGTCCTGGTTTCAGTTGGGCCATATCACCATGTCCATGCCAAAAGGGTTGGAAGAGAAGACACGCTGGAAGAGCAGGACACCCTCTCTGGAAGCTCTAGTTAAGAAAGGGCTCTGAACTGGCACCTCCTTCTCATTTATGTTCCAAGGGTGTTTGTGATGCAGCTACCCAAGAACTAAGCAAAAGATAGAGAATAAAAATAGGACATTCAAGAGTCATAAAGAACGAAGTTCAAATCTAGTCTGACCCTTACCGCTTCATATCATATAAGCCCATACCAAATAAGCATTTGCTTACCTTCTGCTGAGAGCAAAGTACTGTTCTAGATATCAGGAATACAGTAGCAAACAAAAGAGGCAAGGCCTCTTTTCCCCTGGACCTACCACCCCTGTGGAGGGAAACAGATACTAATAGTAGCATAATTAATTATGACAATTTAGATCATAGTGGATGTTTCTGAAGAAAATGGTTGATCCATTTAATGAGTTTATACAACAGATATTAATTAATAAATTAATTAAAGTGTCAGGCACTGTTCCAGGTGCTGGAGATACGAACAATGATGAAAACAGACCTTATTTTCATAGAATTTCCATTCTAGACCAGAAAGACAGACAATAAAAAATAAACATCTTTTTTGTAGTTAGAATGTTAAAAATCTATTTCAGTGATTTTGAGATTTACAATACATTAGTATTTATTGTAGTCGCCAAGCAGTGCAATAGATGACTAAAACTTATTCCTCTAGTCAAACTGAAAATACCTACAGCTATTATGTGCTGATTAAAAATTTTAAAATAAGTTTAAAAATAGATGAACATACATGTTGGATGGTGATAACAAGACAAAGTAAATGTGGTGAAAATGCGTGTATAGGCTTTTAGGGAAATTCTCTTTGATAAGGTGATAGGCACTTGAGCACTGATGTAATGTCTAAATCAGTTTCTGCTGAAAATCTAGAATATGGGATTAAGCTATTAGACTGTAGTGAAGATTAAATGGGATGTTAAGTTTGAATGTGCCTGGCCAGGGGTCTGGAACACAGAACACAGAAGTGAAGGTTATTATTATTATTATTATTGTGGCTGTTTTTTTGATTTGGGAAACTGAGTTAGAATCCTCTTACTACAGTCTCAAAGGGATCTTTGAGAAATCTGAGGAAAGAAAGAGCTCAGGAAAAAGTAGAAAACTGAAGCTTTCTTTTTTCTTCCTTTTTTTTTTGACAGTCCCAGTACCATCTGCTTGTAGCTAAAGTCTTAATTAGCTCAGACAGGGGAGTGTCCCCAAGTCTAGGCTTTGTCAGCTTATGACGGGCTGCTGGCTGTGTGCCTTCTTGTAGGGGCCAGCAACTCCTCCAGGTATTGGACACATGGTTGCAGGATAAGGCAGGACTTGACAAGTCTGAGGATGCTCTGCCTCCCCAAGGAAAGGATGAGGAGCTGTTTCTACCTTCCTCGGCCACTCCATTCATTCTCTGCAACCTGGATCCAGCCCAGCTCATTTAGCAATTGGCTCACAACACAGAGAACCACACAATCAGAAGCTACTGATGAAGAGAATGCAGACATATGCTACTGAGACTAATGATGGAAACCTCGGTCTAGAGAGGCTTCTAGCACAATAGTGGTCCTTAGTCACTGCCGCTCTGAACACTACTGCTCTACACCTGGGATAACAGTGCTCTGCATTGGCTTGGCAGAGACCGCACAGTGGATGCACCATGAACGAGGTGTCAGAGAGCAGGTCCAGGCTCTCCAAACGAAGGCCCTCGAAAATCTTAGCAGTGATGATTCTGTGTCTGTCTATGCAAGGAAACCGATATGACCTCAAGTATTTAAAACAGAAAGAATTTTATAGAGGGCACTATTTATCCAGATGACAAAGGAGCTGAGAGCAAAACTAAGATAATGAGGTAGCCTAAAGGTCGGAAACTGCAAGAAGTTGCTCTCAACTCTAGACCAGAGAGATAAAGAGAAGAAATGCTATTACCAGAGCCTAGAAATGCCCAGGAGAAGCTAGAACCTCAGCCTATTTGTCTAGAGATTGATACCAAGGAGGATAACAGTCCCTGCTTCAGAAACCCTTTGAGCAGAGTATGACGAGAAACCATGCCTTGTTTTTTTTTTTTTTTTTTTGAAGAGATTTTTGCTATAGGGCGCATGTGCTCACCAGACAGACAGGGAGAGACAGAGAGACAGCAAGCGAGAAATCACCCCCCAGAGGGGATGGCCACGCCGCAATCCCTTCTCCTCCATTCTCCTCTCGGGATCTTGGGCATGCACGCACATGCGCCCGGCGTGAGTTTAAGCCACCAGGTCCGGGACTTGAACCGCGGTCGACTATGTGGGAGTCCAGTGACATAGCCATTATGCTAACTGCTGGTTCCCCTGTTTTTTTGCTATAGGGCATGTGCACTTGCCAGAAAGACAGAGAGAGACAGAGAGACAGAAAGCAAGAAATTACTCCCCAGGAGGTTGGCCATGCCACAATCTCTTCTCCTCCATTCTCCTCTCGGGATCTTGGGCACTCACACATGAGTGCCCAACATGAGTTTAAGCTACGGGGTCCAGGACTCGAACTGCAGTCAACAACATGGGAGTTCAGAGACATAGCCATTAAACTAACTGCTGGTCCCACCATGCCCTGTTTCTCTCTTCCCCCTTCCTACTCAGTTTCCTGCTCATACTTGCCATTAGCCAAAACGAACAGGAACCCAGCTGCCATCGGAGACTAGAAATGCAGTTACACAGGGGAAGCCCATTTTAAGACAGAGGAAAACAAAGGCAAGTAATCAAACTATCAGTTAAAAAGTCTAGAACCAGCAGCACAAGAGCAACCTCCCTGGAATTTTCCTAGACCTACTGGAAATAAGATACTTAATTCTGATGGTTTCCATATACTTCTAGGTTATGAACCAGGAGCATGAGAAAAGACCCCCTGCCTGTGAATAAAATCAGTCCTGACGAAAGCATATTTAAAATGTGGGGCAGGGAAATTTTTCACAGCACCAGAGCACAACTGAAGCCAGACAACCTCTCTGTGTTCTAACTACATGAGCTAATACATTCTTTTTTTTTTATTGTCACTCTTTTGCTTAAACCAGTTTGATCTAGATTTATTTACTTGCCACCACAGGTGTCCTGACTTACCTATCTCTGAATTATGGATAACAATCCAAAACTATGAATATTAAATGGGATAACATCTGTGCAAAGCCTAAAACACTTTACAAATCTTAATAAATGACAATTATTTGAAATAATGAAGGAAATTCTTGGAATTTCAGAGACCAAAAACATCTTAGCCATTCTGAAGTTACTCTGGGGTGAAGGGTCATACCTCAGTCTCCCCCAAGCGACCAGCAAAGATGTTAGGATTTTGGGACTATTTAGTATAAAAAGACTTCTACATCCTTTCCACCTCCCCAGGACATTCAAAAGTCCCTCATGCAATATGAAGCATTCAGGTGTAGCAGAAAGCATGTTCACTTCAGGAGTAAATAGTACAATACCTAGTGCTGCAACTTACCGCATGACTTTGGACTGTCACTGATGTTCTCTGGAACTCAGCTTTCTCAGATGTGGCAGAACATGGGAATAACCCTTCTATATTAACTCAAATTTGCTCTATGATTAAAGGAGGAAAGAGATGTGAAAGTACTTTGAAAAGAGTAAAAACCATCATATGTGAGTTATTTGAATATATTTGTACTTAAAAAGGTATCTAATTTTTGCAATATAAATGTCCTAAGCTCAAGGGTGATGTCCTTTAAAATTATTATTATTAATTTGGTAACACGCTGTGGTAGATTAAAACAAAAGAAAGAGCACACATGGAGAACAAACCATGATAGGGCAGTAAAATACAATGCTCTGTGAGGCTGACCCACATGGGAAGGTTCTGTGTTCATGTCTGCAGACCTCCTCGAATATACCAGGTATGTGGGCCCATGATCTAGGACTGGCTGGGGCTGAGGATGGACAAGGACATCAAGTCCCTGTTGGGGTTGCTTTCTTTTTCTCTAACAAAAGAAAGAAAGGAACTTTTATAAAATGACTGTTACTGGCCAAATTAAATCCAGTTGCTGCTTCTTGCAGTCAATGAAATGAGAGGCAAAGGCTGGAGAAGAAGAGAGTTTATTTTTGCAACCAGTTACAGGAAGACAGTCAAGTAATATCAACCTATCTCAAAAAGCTCAGCATCTTCTTCGTATTTATAGGTACAAGATACAAGCAGGTAATCATTCCTCACTACAATCAATCAGAGTCAATCACTTTCTCTTGAGTAATATCTTGATTCGTTCAAGTACTCATTCCTGGCTTCTTGTCTGATCCTTCCTCAACACAGACCTCCTTATGACTCAGCATTTGGTCAAACTGTTCTCATTAGAGACCTTTCTTAATTGCAAAATGGCTGCAGTCCCACTGACCTCCTTCAAGACCATAATGCTTCCTTTCGCTGTTTCTATACCCTTTCAATAAAATATGCATCCTCTTCCACCAAAAGTTCATAAAGTGTTGGAGCTTGTACTGTCTCCATGTACTGTCTTTTCCCTTGTCTGGCCTTGTGACTTGCTTTGGACAATGGAATGGAGCAGAAGTAATGTTATTCCACTTCTGAGCCTGGGCCTCAAGAGGTCAGGTTTTCCATCTTGGAACTCTGTTACCATTTGAAAGCCAAGGCTAGAGTTGGAGTATGAGATAACATTAGGGAGAAACACTTCAGCTGAGCCCATCCAACGCCAACAAGTAGCTGACCTAAATAGCTGGTCCCAGATAACCAAGTGAACTCAGCTCAAGGAGTCACTCCACTGAGCTCAGCCTAATTAGCCAATCCACATTATCATGAGCTAAATAAGACTGCCATTTAAGTCACTAAGTATTGAGGTTTGTTATATAGTAAAGCTAATTAATGCTAATTAATATGTACCACGTAGAGTCAGTAGGTTTGTTGTATAGTAAAGCTAACTACTACATACCAGGTAGAGTCAGCAGGTTGTCATACCTACCACATGTCACTTTCCAGTGGTTTGAGTGTCACTCTGTCATTTATCCTTGTGTGACCTTGAGTAAGTCAT